GCGCTAGAAAATTCTTGGAAAAGCATCCAGCCGAAAACATAACAAAATCTAGACAAAGCCTAGAGCATTCCTAGGAAAATGCCAGAAAAGCCTTTGAAAATCTCATAAACCAACAGAAAACGTGACAAAATCTACGAAAAAGAAAGGGCATTGGCCGGGACCATGCCGCGACCAGCCCGGGATTCGAGCCCAGGACCATTTTGGACCGTGCTTATTTTCCCGCGCGGGTCGAGAGGGTGCCCCAAGATGTAAATCAATTGGGATGGCAGAATCTTGGACAATCCAGGTCGCATGAGGTCGCTTTCCCGTCAAATTCCGTAGCTATCAGGTCGCTTTTAGGACCGGATTTCGTCACTGCAACAAGGGTCCGGAGGGGTAGGGGAGGTAAGGTCTAGGTCTAAGGCTAAGGACTAGGTCTAGGGCTAAGGCTAAGGCTTAAGTCTAAGGCTAAGGATTAAGGCTAAGGCTACGGCTTAAGGCTAAGGCTAACATCGACAGTCACGCCTCACCCAACGGTGTGGGGTCGGCGGATATATATTATTGGTTCTTTAGAGATGTTTTCCGGACCTCCGGTGGTCGGAGAGACTTTAAGATCAGCCCCGGCGACGCGCGAACGGAGGCTGCGTTTGGAGGTGAATTCTTCGAAGAGGAAGGGGCAACCCACCGCGGCGTGTGAGTTCGACGGGCTTCGTGAGGGTCATTTTTAACCAGGAATCCATAAACCGATCCTGAGGTGGGCATGCTTTTGGACGGTCGGTTGTTCGGGATTTGTTCCGATCTCTCGAACGTTGTCCCAGACACTCCATGTATGATATTAAGTATCATTAATTGAATTCATACCATCCCAAGTTTTGCCCATCCTTTTTGTATGTTTTTTTCATTTCCGCGTGATGATGCATCATAGCCCGCAGCAAGCATGCTGCGGGGCTCTCGGTGTTTTTTCGGTCCACTTGATGTGCAGATCAACATATCAAGCCCTGGGACTTGCGCAAGTTCACTCTGGTTTCGGTGAAAACAAACTCAAATTTAGACACGAAATGACATGGATCTCTCTGAAGCTTACCAGTTTGCCATTGATTTCTTTTGGATATGGTGGGTCCAAAGTGAGCTCACCATGTTTGGTTGGGTGTCCATTGTGCTTGGACCGTGTTCTTCTTCACCAAGAAAGATTTGCATGGTGGTGAAGGCTTTACAACAGCCAACATTGGCCAATCGCCAGCCCTGACTTGAGTGTGGAGGCGATTTGTCAAAGGCTGCGAACCAAAAACTACTGGAGGTTATAGAGTTAAGAAAGTTGAGTCAAGCATCTTCGACTTGAACTGCTGAATCCAAAGCATTGCCTTTCACTTCTAAGTCTTGCCACCAGTGTTACCCTGGTGATAGGTTACTGTAATCGATTTCAAGATGAGGCAGCCATGGTCCGGTTCAAGTTATTGCGTAAGACCTCTGATTACCCCAGCTTGTCATCCGAATATTGCACGCTTTGAAAAGAGGGATCTCGTTCCAGGAAGCGGCGGCTGTGGTGGCGAAAGGGGCTGACACACCAGAACAACTAGCCAAGGCAGACGTGAGGGTTCAGTATGCACCTTGTTGAGCTGCAAACTGAGACACTTTATGTGAGGCATGCGAGGATTGCATCTCAGACCATAGGTCAGACCTACTTGTTACTCTACTTGACATCCTTCTCTCTCTCTATTTGCAGGAAGCAGCTGCAGCAGAGCAAGGTGCTGGGACGCAAGAAGAACTTGCTAAGGCAATCAGGGGCCGGTGATCTTCCGCTCAGATATGATACTCAATATTTGTTATGTTTCTTGTGGGAAATGGGAAAGGACATTAACTTGGGACTCAACATCCATTTCCGAGCGCCATCCCTTTTCAGGAAGCAGCTACAGTGGAGGAAGGTGCTGAGACACAAGAACAAGTTGCGAAGGCAGTCGCACTTCCTTCAGGGTGAAGTGTTTTTTTTGCAACAATGTGTTTTTCAATGAGACAATGTTGGAGATCAACTTCAACTTGACATCTATTTGTGAGAGAGATCTCTTTGCAGGAAGGTGCTGAGACGCAAGAAGAAGTTGGCAAGGCAGTCACGATTGATTCAGGGTGAGGGTGAAGATGTATTGCTACAACGGGCAATTTTCAACAAGTCGAGTTCATGCAACAGTAGAATGAAATTCCATACCTTTTGGGGTAGAGCAAGAACTCGGAGGTTAGTTTCAGTTTGACATCCTTTTGTGAGAGATCTCTTTGCAGGAAGTAGCTCCAGTGCAAGAAGCTGCTGAGACACAAGAAGAAATTGCCAAGGCATCCAGGGTTCAGAGGGTGAACTGTTTGTTGCTATATATATAAATATATATACATACTTTTAGTTGGGTCTCTTGGCAGGAGGCAGCTGCGGTGGAGCAAGATGCTGAGGCGCAAGAATATATTGCTAAGGCAGCTAGGGTTCGTAGGCGGCAGT